AAGTAATGTTTTCATAAACAAGAATTTGTAAATGGCATATTCGCAATAATGCTAAATCTATTTTGAACCTTATATTATTTGTTTTTTTGGTGGGCAAACTGTCGATTTACCAGGGGTTTGGGTTGTTTGGGGTTGTTTTTTTTTTTGGGGGGGGGGGGGGGGAACAAAACAAACAAAGATAGTTCAAATGAGAGGAATATGTTCTTTGTAACTTTAATTCCTGGCATTAAAATTGGGGCTACAAGCTGTATGTTCGAATTTCTAAAACAATATGTAACGATCTAAATTTTAGTTCCCTGGTCCATGCAATATTAAAGGAAACCCAAACTTCCTCTTCAAATTATTACTTTCGGCTGAAATGCTTTGTTAATGTTATTCATGGACGTGTACTTTTCCTTTAAGTGTGACATCCTTTGCTTTAGATTCCCCTGATTCCTGAAATCTAGATATCCATAGATAATGTCGTATCCAGTGATGATATAATACAATTGTGTAATATCAAATTGATCGTCACAGAGTTTCAATATAATTGATCTAATTCAGAAAAAATGCTAAAGGGAATAGCTTGCGTTATAAAAAAAATATTGTACCCTGGAGAGCTCGAATAATATTAGAATAAGTTCACCTATTTTAAAGATATCGTATTCTCCAAGGGGTGTTATCTAAACGATTCGTAAGTTATGAGCAATTTGCCAATATGGTTAAAAGCCTTCTAAAACCTAGTTATAATTGACACACAGGCAATCCAACTGAGAAAGGGGTCAGTAAATTCATCTAGATCTTACAAGGATCTCATAACTCCCCACAGTAGATGCTACCGTGATCAAGACTGTGTCTAAGCGGATCGGAGCATAGCTTGAGAAAAATACTATTGAATTGCTTGCTAAAATAAGTCAGTGTTTAATTTGCCAGTTTCCCAACTCTATGACCTGCTGCCTACGATTTTACAACTTTTCATTCATTGAATGTACTAAAGCATTCAAAAGTTAAAATAGGTGTTCTGTATCATTTTCTTGAAAAAAGTATATTTTTACATCCGAGCCTACACGAATCACTGGTACTGTTAATTGCGTTCTGTGCCAATGAAAACATCTTTAGCCGCTGCAAGTAATATACATTACTTTTAATTAACGTGCAGGCAAATTTGGAACAGTGCCGATATCATGAGTTGATCTTTACATATTTCTTTATTTTGTTTATAGAGTTGCGGTCCTTGTTCTGTATTTGAAAATGCAGTTGGTTGCCAAAAGTAAATGAGGTGCTGAATTTACTAATAGTAACAGAAAATAAGGACGCATCGACCTGTTTTGATACATAAAGGTAAGAAGCACCATGCACTGGTTATATATATATCTATATATTTATTATTAACAAAATCAATATATGTATTTTTCTTTTAAATTGAAGAAATAATAGAAATAATGTGGGGGGGGGGGGGTAAAATTATTTTGTGATATAATAGTTCAGAACAATATATACGTTGTTTTAAAAACAAAAAAAAAACTGAATCAGACTTAAGACAAAAATACTCGAAGAAAGAAATAATTACGTGTTTTATTATTTTGTGAGATGTATTATTATTTAAGGGGGTTGGGTGGCCAAATTGTTTAATGCGTGCGTATTGGATCATAAGGTCTGTCATTGGGTCAAGGGGTGAAGTTTCGATTCCCCGCTTGTACGTGACAATTAGTAGGGTCGCCTGTCTAACATTATGGGTTTGCTCTGGGTCCCCCGGTTTCCACCAACAGCTAAAGACCCCTACGCGCAAGTAAGTTATTGAAATCAATTTTAACCATGTCTAAGTCCCGAAATGACCTAGTTTGTGTCGAGTGTACGTTAAACCTCATTTCTATCTCTATTATTATTTAACCAAATTTATAATTTGTTGTTTTTCACATCGTTTCTACTCCCTTTAAAAAAATTAAGCTTCGAATAATATCGACTGCTTCTGATATAAAGGTCTTCGGGTGACGTTTGCACAAGGATGTGTGCTTGTATACCGTTTCTGTAACTCTTAATGCCACTGTTTTATCGAGTTCATATAGATGACATATTTTTTGTTTTATGTTTGTATCAAATTAAATACTATCTCCGGGGGTATTTAATATCTAAATTGAAAACTGATTGCTATCAAATGTCCATCATCGCAGATAAGTTTCTTTAGTTTCTAAGGTCCCCCTTAGCTTCCACTAGGGAGAGTGGGCACCCTTTAAAACCGTCCGCTCTGTTCTGGTCTGGTTTTATGTTGACTCCGAGAAGAGCCATGGTATGATAATTTATTATTTGAAGTCAAGGGGCCGGTTGCTCAAAGCTCTGTTATCTTTTAACGATCCGTTAACATGGAGTTAACGGATCATTAACTTTAACAGAGAGAAAGGTTGTTGCTGGAAGCCCCGTTAACTTTAACGTGTAGTTAACTTGGCGTTATATTTAACGGAGGTGTTGGTCTCCGTTATCTGTTTAATGATGGCATTAGTTGGCTGTAGCAAAAAATCATAGATTACATTGTACATATGTAATTTTCTATAGAACATTCTAGAGGGTTGGGCGATGCGGGCCTATTCCATTTTCTATAGGATGAAATTCTATACTATTTTACAGAATTTTGGTGGCCTGTAGGAAATAATGGCCCCATAATTCTGTAGTGCAAATCCCATAATTTTTCCTACAGACTTATGCTAAAATTTCTAAAGGAAAAAATAAAGTATTCTATGGTGTTTTCTGTAGTAAATTCTAGTTATCTTTTTGTCTTTAATCAAGTTTTGTGAACAGACTGCACAGTTAGTTGTCTCACTGTCTTCAGTTTCTTGTTAATACTAACTTCTATGAAGTTGTTATACATGTACATTGAATTCAAAAATTTAAAATTCAGCCAATGAACAAACAGTATTCTCTTGGATTAACTTTAATAAATCCGTTAGCTAACGGATAATGAAATTGACTTTCCAGCAACAGATCGTTAAAATAACTTAGTTTTGAACAACCTGCCCCAGGGCTCTTTTAAATTTCACAAGATCGAAACCACTTCCCCTTTCCTACTCAACGCAAATATAGGTATTGTGGTATATATAGATTTAGTCGCGGGAAAGATATGTGAAGATATTGGTCCACGATTCTGTGAATTCCAGATCTTAGTCGCCAATACACATGTAAGCCAATATAGTTAACTTTTTAAAACCAGAACTCCATGTCTGTGTTTTGTGGATATAATCCAGGTGGACCGTTTATGATTAATAATCGATATCGATTATCGCCCAATGTTCGCCTTAATAACGCGTTAACCGTGTTGAGGGTATATAGCGGTATACCTTTTGTCTTTTGGGGGAAATTACAACAATTTACTCGTCATTTTAGAGAGCACATATGGTTATCATCATTTTGTCTTACTGAAATGCTGTCTGGTTTGTATTATAAATTATACAATATATATAACCTGGTATTTTAACCACTAGAAATATTAGTAAACAAATCTACAGGTTGGATGAGCAAAAAACTAAATTGAAGATGACACGAGTAAGAATGTTAAACAACAGTTATGAAGTCTTTGTTTCTCTACGAATTTTTATAAATAGTTTTACATATAGTTCAAAATTTCCGTTAATATCTTGCCAGATATAAAGAGCAATGTTTTCAAAACTGGTAAACACGTTTGATTTATACAGAAGATAGTTTGGGATTTGTCGGTTAATTATTTTCTTAGATTTATTCGATTGGTTGAAAATTTCATCCTTGTTTAAATGTATCTGGAAATCTGTATCACGGCCCAACAATGAATGTTCCGTCTATCTCTAAGACCTGTATGTGTGTATAGGCTATAAAGACATCGTAAAACGTCCATTTAAAAAAAAACGATGCGTGGATCACTTTCTGTCAAGCACAGAACCAAGTGTTAAATGTCTACAAGTCTTATATGGTAAATTTAAATAGAATAAAAAGTTCGATTGTTTGGTCTAAATGGTAGTTAATCCTAGTCAATTTTATTTTAATGATATACTGGTGATAACCTAGGACGATGTAGTTTAATGGATTCTTTTGTGTTTCAGGTTAATACGTGTCCTTCACAGAATAGAAAATAACAGATCGAAAAAAAAGCAGCATAACGTCTAGTTTTCAAACGCTCTCTCCTCCACATATGCTACGTTTTATTGTGCACGAGGCCCTGTATATTAAACGACGGTGTTTTAATGAAAGGACTACCAGAATTCAGGCACAGTGTTAACAATGTTTTAAAGAATCAAATCGACCAACATGATCACGTTACGTAGTAGATAATACCTTGTGTTCGAACTTGGCGAATGTATTTTTGTTGTGAAGTCAATGGATACTTTTTGACAAAAATATTCCTTTGACGGTTTTAAAGTGGTTTTGAAGAGACATAATCACTCTCACTCAGAAAATAAATGTAATCAATCTATCTTAACATTCATAATAAGTTACCCCGTTTAATAAACTTGCGGAAAGGATACTGGTTTTAATGCTATATATGGCATTGAAATAAAAATACATTTAAATGGGAATTAACGATTTGTAACTGAACTATCAAAGTTCGATAACCCCATAATTATAAGTAAATAATGATTAAAGTTATATATGAATAACAAACTTCCTAATGGTAAAATAAGACTTCAGCCAGGATAAAATTAATTAAAGGTAAAGCCATAATCTGCTTACAATATGCTTTACATGAATAAATATATTGATAATATAAATAAAACCAATCGGCTGTGAAAAGTAATAAATAACTGGCGAACCTGAATGGAATGTTTCCGATTTATCATTAACCTAGTATTGGTATATGGTTTGTTTTAAAATGTAAATATAGTTTTAATCCGTTTTTCAATTAGAATATAGCCTAACCTCTAAAATTAGATAAATCGTCATATTACAATTATTACTAATATGTGAATTCTCCAACTCAGAAAACTTGAAGACAGTCAAAATATTAATTATTTCGTTCTCACAATTTAACAGATAATTTTAAATCGTCGGATTTACTGATTTTGGTCAGATTCTTGTTTTTCTGCTACTTGGTCTTCGTCATGGACAAATTCCTGCAATATGCAGTTGATAAAATCCCAACATAATGGATGTGCCATCATCCACAAATTGAATTATGAAATGTACAAGCACAATGAAAATGTTTTCTTCTGTATGTGGTAGCTTTATTAGACGGACTCGCATTATTCAAATCACCGTGAGCATTTATTATTGATTGATAACAGATTAGAGAACTAGCCGATTTGAATAATTATGCCGTTTGTCGTCATGGTGGAACCGGCCAATCAAAAGACTAGGATTGATTCCACCGAACAGCTGCAACCAGCTAGCAGACGATCACTGTCAGTTCGCGCGCGCAATAGTCAACATGTCGACGGCAAAATACCGTCCATACAAGATGGAATGGAAGAAAGAACAGAACATTTACCTTCGGTGATTTTACCGTATATTACTTCACTAGATAAAGATGGGAACGTAAATCAGGGATATACCTCACCAGACATTGAGTTACAAAGCTATTCTTTTCCCCACTCCAACAACAACTTGGCTCAGAAACACGGCTACAACAGTGACAATCATATGTTGAAACCTCTATCTATACCTGTCACTGTCCCATCAACAGCCACAACGGATACAAACACCATGAAAGCTAACCAAAGACCAAGGATACTACATCAAATAAGTGACGACGAAGGGCGACAGGATGAGTCTATTGGCAAAGACGATGCAGCCAAACATAGGGCTAAGGAATCGGTGCTGTCCGATATAGGCGCCGATTACATGAGAGTAAACGGGACGATTGGTCCGTTCAAGCAATTACAAAAACCGTGTTCCCTGCAGTCTCTGCCAACTTCGTCTAAAATGAGCTATACTTCAACGGAGGAGGCTGGTGTAGCGTTGGTGGGGGGTGGAAGCGAGTACCAAAAATACACAGAAGACAAAACACAACATAAAGCACGACAAAAAAATGTCGGCTACCGTTTAGGGAAACGAAAGGAACTTTACGAGAAAAGGAAGAAGATTTCTGATTACTGTTTAGTTTTTGCCATGTTTGGAATAGGTGTCATGGTTTTAGAAACGGAATTATCTATGGCCGAGGTGTACACGAAGGTAAGCATTTCATTTATTCTATTTTGCCAATACTTTGGTACCGTAACTAGTACCGTTTTAGAATGTTACCCCCGTCTTTGGCCAAGTAATGCATTTATATAACTATTTATTGACTGGGGCAAAATGTATGTTGACATTTTTTTATTCACGAGCCATGTGTCCGTAACTGCACTTTCTTAAAAGTATAATTAACTTATTCTTAGAACGTAGTTTAAGGACGTTGTCATTCTTTTCTTTTCTGTAAACTATAATTCAGTATAAGCGCTTGGTCTGCCAATGCATTATGTCTATTGACTAGCATAAACAACAAGTGCTGTGTTATGTGGAATAATGAACAACGGTAGCTTAATTCGGTAACAATATGATGACACAATATCGTCATGTCCAGGATTCAGCCATTTTCCGATAGATAAGCCAACGTGGAGTCGTTATGCATGGGCGCGCCGATAAAAAAATCTCTGCCCGGAAAAGCTACGTCACACTACGTGGTAATATATAGGTGAGGACCGTCATCTTATATTCTATTTGCAGAACAAATTTATTGGATTATGGTACTTACTGTCCTAGTTCCTCTAGGAACTGTCTCTAGTGGACGATGTCCACTGACAGTTCCTATCCGTCTCTAGAGCTGCAGTATAAAAATACCCTCTTCCCCACCTCTGTTCTAACGACTATTTTTCACCGTGATTCTTCTTTATTCGTCAAAGGAATCATTTCTTGCCGCAGATAACACACATTTATAATAATTCAACACTATTTTCAAGCAGAATTCTGCGATTAAAAACATACACAAAATACGTTTGAACTGATCAGCCTTACGAGACTTAAACATGCGCAGACCGCATATTTATTTAATCGCTAAATTCGAGTTGAAAATGGTGTTGAATTATTATAAATTGTTGTCGGATATTGTGAGCAATGATTCCTTTAGGCAAATCATAAAGAATCACGGTGAAAAATAGAAGGTAAGAGCTCCAAAATAGCATGAGAACAGTGGTGGGAAGAGCAATATTTCACCGTATTTTCATATTGCAGCTATATATGTCAGAGGACATCCTCCGCCCAGAGACAGTTCCTAAAGGAACTATTACAGTTCCTATCTTTGCCCACTTGGAACATGACCTGTATTTCAAATTAGGTAGCACTACACCATTTAACCAAGTGATGAGGTGTCAGGGATACCCTTCTGAAAAAGTCCTAATGTTGTTAAAGAGTTTTAGAATGTAATCGAATCAACAAAATAAAATGAAATGAAATAGGGTTTAACGACCTACTGTTCTGCTGCTATACTGAGCTAATGAAGACGGGCATACGCCATACAGTGTGCTATAAGGGGAAATTTTGCCCGGGCAGCGGCACTATGTCCAACTTCTATATCAAATTCCAACTGCCAAGAATGAATCAACAAGTGCACATGATAATATGAAAAGAATTAATACATGTATATGTATTATATACTATGTAAGTAACCTCATAAATTAACACACAAATGAATAAGATATTGCCTATTCATTGCAATTTTAGTTCGCATAAAATGTGTAATCTACCAACGTGCAGGAGACTTCATCAGGAAATTTATAAAAAAAAAAATATCAAATAAAATACTGAAGATTCTTATGAAATAGTTATTTTCTCTTGGCCTATGGCTATTTTAATATTTTAAATGTCTATTTGTTATAATCATGCTATAATAAATGTTTCCAAATTTTCATACAGTCTCAGTTAGCCTAGTTAGCCTACTTATAAATCCTTTCAGCATGCATATATCAAATTATCTAGAGTGATTGTTTTAATTGTTTTGTTGGGGATCTGTGATCTATTCATCTATATTGGCTACATTAAAGTTTTAAGTAATGTAGAGTGACAATGAATTGTTTTAATCATAGACCCTATAAGGTTCATGTTTTAATTGTCCAAGTTCAAATCGGAGCTGAGGGTGGGGTTGGCCAAATAGTGTAAGTTGAATTGCGGATCTGACATTTATGATTCAAAGGCTTAATCCCATAATTGTCTACCATATGTTAGTTCCAATATAAGCTAGTGGTCATCGTAGGTGTTAACCCTCTATCTCTTCCATTTTTACTTATTAGATTTTTTTATTAATTATCAATATTGCACAGACAGAGATTGAAAATGGTTGATAAGATGAAGTGCATGTTATATGTGCTAGCGAATACATGTGTTACCATAGACTTTGCTCTATTTGCCTTGTGTTGATGGCATGTTGTAACCAAGTATATTATGGTTATCATGTTACTGCCTAGCTTGGAACGATTTATAGAAGAATAGCTGGTATGGGAACTAATTTGTGGGTTCTGGCTTGTAAATGTTCTATCTGCGATTGTCATTGTAGAAAAACAAACATTTAACTTTATAAAACATGTTATTTTATGAGTAAATGTATGCCTTGTTGGAGCATTTATATCTAGAAACATGTTTTTGTAATTACATGAATATGGAAGAATACACACTAAAACATGTTACAATCAATACAGGATGATACTGTTTTTAATAAAGGGGTTGGGTAGGTGTATTAAGAAATTTCTAATAGTCTTTTCGTACTACATGTACATAAAATCTGTGCTAATTTTCATGATCCTCTTCTCAACCATTATTAAGAATCCGTTTATCAATTTATAGGATTATTGCTTTCATACTGTTTAATAACACCAATATTCATAATTTGTTTTGTGGGGAAAATTGATGGGCTATACTACCATGATCACTCTCCAGATTGTAGAAGCATTATGAAGTATTATTATCTGGATTTTTGTGGTTTCTACTTCTAAAAACTATTTTCAGCATTTCTTTATTTGTTGTGTGAAAAGTAAAGGAGTTAAGTCAAAGTTTAAACTATCATACTTTTTATAGTGTGAGTGAACTATTTGTATGTATATATTTGAATGAGAACAAGACACGAATTTCTAGACCAGTGTAAAAAGTATTTTGAAATACTAATATTTGGAGTTAAGCAGTTCTTAAATTTAATGCCCCAATATACAATAAAGATGAAAATAGAAATGCCATAGTTTTATGAAGGACCATTAAAGATACATTATGTAAGATATAGATAAAGAGCTAGCCATTCTTGCTATATAATAGTTCGAAAATAGATAATGTAAAATGAATAATTTGAAAATTCATTCAAATTAATCTATTGCGAGCGAAGATATTGCCTTTGAAGCTTTGGCAAGACATATGCAATAATTCAACCACCGTACTGGTTGTTCGAAGCTAAGTCTCGCTCCTCCATTTTTAAATTAAATAAAAAATATGGCTGAACCATTCTAATCTATTTAATATCGGAGAAATCTGATGCCATCGAGAGCTGATTATGGTCTAGTTAATTAATGTCTAATTAATAATTTAGAAAACATTTCAGGCCTAAAGAAAGACCTGCAATAGGCAGATTTAGCCCTTGCATAATGTATGTTTAATGGAATTGAATTTATCATTTTGCTGATGTATGATTATTCATGAATTATATTATTAATAAGTAGTGTAGATTTAAAGATAAAAAAAGTTACTTTTTATGTAGTGTAATGATGAATATAATATTTACATGTAATAATAGTGAACAATGCTACATTGTAGTTGGTACTGGGTAGTGTGAGTTTCATGATTAGTGCATGGTTAATAAGGATTAATATACAAATGAAATATTTACAAAGTGATTATTTATATTTATGTACATATAAGAACAAAAAGAAACACTATATATTTCATATACCGACCAGGACATGTATGCATTTATGTAACAGGTGTTTTAATGACTGTGCAAATGATATGAACATGTAGATAGATGGAGATAACATTTTTAACCAAAAAATAGTGCTACTAAAGAATATTAATTGATAATAGTGGTGAATATACATTTATCTAGTCTATTTTTGATGGTGAAAAAATATTCTTAGGTTTTGAATATTGACTAGTGATGAATATATATTTATGGCAAGTTATGTAGTGTATATTTGTGATAGTGAATACACATTCTTAAGCTATTACCATTCTTAAGTAGAAGTAGTGTATATTAAAGATACATTAGTTAAGAGCTAAATGTATCTATTGCAAGTCTTTCCATAGGGTTAGCGTGTGCGTTTTGCATCATAAGGTCTGTTATTGAGTCAGTTAGCGTGGTTCGATTCCCTCGGTTGTATGTGACAAGGAGTAGGGATAAAAACTGACGTCACTCCCGGGGACTGGCGGTGAAAGGATTGACAGTTGAGTGTACCGTAGGCATTGAAAATGTTACTTGATAATTGAGAATATGTGGACAGAGTTATTGTCTGCCAATGAGCAATTCTTGGAGACGGTGCAGAGACAATAGATGCTTTATTAATTCTAGTCCAAACTTCCAACAGTGAAAACTTCATTCAGAATAAAGTAATTGGACTGAAATTCTCTTTATTACAATCTTAACTATACATATCTTTAACTACTGGTGAATATACATTTGTGTAGTGTAACATTCCTGACGTAGAAGTAGTGTATATTAACTAGTGGTGAAGATACATTTATGTAGTGGATATTTGTGACACTGAATAAACATTCTAAATCTAAACCTTCTTTATATATATTAAACAGGCATTATGTAAGAGCTAAATCTGCCTATTATCAACTCTCAACGCTCAAAATAAAGTAATTTGAAAAAAGTTTTCAATATAATATTCATTTTGCATAATCTATTTTTGGAATATTATAGCGAGAACGGACAGCTCTTTATGTAAATCTTACATGATGCCTGTTTAATTTGGGGTAAATATACATTTTTGTTGTGTATATTTATGATAAATTTTGAATTGCTTTAAAATTGTGGTATATGTTTGTGAAAATATTGTTATGAATCCATTAGTTAATTCAAGTTAGTGTTTCCTATTTTAATACTATTGGACTGTTGTATTCATAATGACTATTTATGAACTATTATAGGTCAATGTTGACTGTAAAGTAAATGTCACATCAATTTTACAACGTAAATGTTGTAATTATAACTGTAGAGT